GCTAAACTAAAATGAGTTAACTCTCATTTCAGCGAGATGAAAACTAGACAAGATTGCACGGGAGATTTTTTTCAAAAGGAACATTTTTTAAGTTTCTTTCAGTAGTGTTTCCAAGTAACTGTCACTGATTAAATCGATAGGAGATTCAAATAATTTATCAAACATTGCCGGTTTTGTAAATTTAATTTAGCTCATCTAAATCAGCACTGTAAGATGTCAGTACAACTGTTACAATTCATTCAGACGAAACGGTAACGTTTGAGTCCGACAATTCGTCAATAATCATAACGGCTCCGTTGGCACAAAAATATGTGTGCAAAGACCGAATCAACATTACTTTGCATTCGGAGGGATTCAAGTGAGTTTCCGCGTTTTTTTAAATGGCTTTCTTTTAAAAAGTATTAGGTACACCTTTTTTCTTTCATTCTAACTCCAAGTTAATACATTAAGACCTTCGAGCCGTTACAAAATCTTTCCCCATTGAAAATGCATCTTCTGCAGTGAATCCCTAAATAACTTCTCCTTATTTAGTGATATAATCGCAGAATTCTCACCGGATATCGACGTTCAGCCATATGGACCAAAAAGCAATTGTAAGTAGATGTACTTGAACCAATTAACACGTGAATTCCTCAAAGATAAGTTGAAATTCAAGTTGCGGGTATTGCGAGGCTTAGCGTCTGTGTCAAGGCGAATATTATCTGCGCTTTTCGAGGAGCCCTAAAGATAGCTATAATTGCAGCCGTCGTCTCCTATTTAAGATTCCGACTGTACTCTCGCTATTAACTCGTTTATTGTTGTATTTATAGAACTAGCCAAATACAGCAAGGCATAATCTATTTACTACAGTGTCTTGATAGGGGACTAGAAGGTGTCAGGTTCTGTGAAGATTTCAAAGTTGCAAGAATTTTCACTTTAACAAGAAAAAACCTCGTTCTTCGACTTCTTTGAATCACTTTACTCAATTGAGTTCAATGTTTTGTACCTGAAGCAGAATATTGTTAAGGTCTCAACACTGAGTTGTATGACTTACAAAAGGATCGAGACCAATCTCTTAAGAAAAACTAAAAGAATTCTCAAGCTTTTTAGCACGATTGAAGTATGATTTTCTTACTGCCTTATACAAAACTCTATCTGCTTATCTAAACTTATCTGCTCACTTCCAATCGTAAACTTTCTCTCATGAAGACAATAACACTGCTATTTCAGTCTATCTGTGTGAACGTACTCGCAAGCGAACGCTAGTGGAATCGTTCCAGAACAAGGCCACGGTGTTTTCTGGGGTTGTGCTAGGCCTCACATCCGTTTCCGCCATGATCGGACACGCAATCCGACGTCATTTCATTCCCGAGCGAAAGCAAATGTACGAAAATCTTGGTGTTACATAATTTTTGATTGAGCGAGATGTGTGTAGTCTCAGAACTTAGATGTCACTTCTCTTTTCGATTTTAGCTAATAGATCCTTTTCTCTCTCACTGCTGTTCGTGTTTACTACGCTATGGCGTAATCTACGAACTCTTAAAATCAGAGGAACATTTTTATTACACAAATCTTAAGTTAATATTTCGTTTGGTTTAATGGTTAAATTTACACGAACACAATTAGCACAAATAAACGATGATGGATGCCTCAAAGTAGATAACGAATCAAGACAAAGAAATACATACAGATGAGGATGAAGAAGGGAGATCACTCCAGTACTTCTTGATTTTTCCAGACGTTATTTATGGTGAGCGGCTACGACTCCTAAAATGAAGCGTTTCGAAGTGTGATGTTAGTGAGAAAATTCTGTTTTGAAATTCTAACATTCACTATACCTGCTGTTGCTCCTCCTATCGTCTGGAGAGCGAGATCGTGAGCTACGTCGTGGTGGTGAACGACTGCGCGAGCGTGACCTAAACAGTTTCTTGATAGCATAACTAGAACAGAAGATGTTTGCATGAGAACAAGAATATAAGGAAAAAAAGGGTAAAACTGAAATGACTAATGAATAGCAGTTAAACAACATACGAAACATGAGTCCCAAGGTT